TCATATGGGTTATTGTCTTCTCCCTCACTAGAATCTAAACATTCATGAGGGTGGGTATCTTTGTCTGTGAGTCTGGAACAGTGTCTGGCACATAGTAGGAGCAGCACCTATTACTTGTTGAATGAGAAGTGAATGCAAAGTTGCTGTGCTTTATGAAGATGACTGTACCTAACTGCACAAAGAAGATGAAAAGATCAGTTATGACTCCCAGCGTCTCTAGATATCTATCGCCCATTTATCTTTGTCATCTGTTTCATGTCAGGGAGACTGCCTCTCTTCCAGTGGCTAATCTTCCAGCTGTGTCGAGAGTCTCTCCCCTCCTACCTCTTCCAGGAGAACTATACCTTTGATTATCTCCATTCTGGACATGTGTTTTCCTTTGTTGTCTCTTTTTCTCTATCCTGTGACTAATTGTATCTTTGGCTTAGTGTTGTCTTAAGGAAGAAGAAAAATAAACCTAATTTTGTCTTTCAATCTGGCACCCCATCTCTTCTTTTTTAATCAACAAATGGTGAAAGTTATTATTGTCTTATTTTCTAAATCCTCATTTACACCTCTGCTCTTTGCAGCTGGCTTTCCATACTCTGTCTCACTACCAAATTCACTCTGGCAAAGGTTTTTGGTGGGGTAACTGCCAAATCCAATGAATTGTGAAGTCAGCCTTATCCTACTTAATTTCTCTAAAGATTTGGCTTTTCTTTCTTTAATTTCATTTAACAGCTATTTATTGAACACATGCTGAATGCCCTGCATTCTCCAGGCAGTGAGGATGTTTACATTTTTGTAAGTAAAAGTCACATGCAACAAATTACATATCACAAATACTATCAAGAATACAGTATTTCTTAAGATTGTGGCCTGCCTGGGGCCAGCCGGTAGTGTGGTGGTTGGAGTGCTGGACTCCCAGATGGCTGACTAAAGTTTGTGTCCTAGACCTGGTGGCTTGCTTTCCCACTCATCCTCTCTTTGTGTCTCTGGTGAGCACCTGTACCCTATAGAAAAAATTTAGAAATAATAATAAATAAAATAAATAATTTTTAAATGATTGTGGCCCCTCACCCCGAAAAAAGGCATTTTCTTGACATAGGAGCGAGGGTGGTACCGAAATAACTTCATATTTTATCAGATAATAAAGGGAACATCTAAGATATAAAGCAGTAAAATTACCAATGGCACAGAAAGCATCAAAGTTGCTGTTTTTAAAAATTACCAATGAGTCTGATATGACAAAAGTGGGGGTGTATTAAGCCATATAAGGATGTGCTACAATTGATCATGGAAGATGTGGTAAAACCCTGAATTAGGATCATGGTGGCTGGGATATGGAGAAGAAAGGACAGAGGTGGAATTGCAAGAGAAATATTTAGAGGTAGAATCAGTGATGCTCAGTGCCTGATTCCTTAGTGAAGATGAAGTCATGGGGGCAAGATGTTCTCTTTTGGACATAGCAGTGTTTGATGCTCTGGAACATCAAGTGATAAAATTCTGTAGGCAGTTGGATATATGGATCCAGAGGCCAGGAGTGTGCTGAAAATTGGCAGTGAAGATCAAAGTCATGAGAAGGATAAGATAAAGATATGGACAGTTTTGAAACTAGAGAGGAGGGAAGCACAAGTGTATCATACAGGATATGCTGTATCTTAGAGTAAAGGGGCTGTGTAAGGTGTTTTAAGCACTGTACAATTTTAGAACAATTACTGCATGGCTATGTTACTATTTTTCTTGTCAATGTTCTAGTCTTTGGTTATTAGCTGATCTGATTCTAAACACATCATCTATCTGTTGCATTGATTTATCTCCAGTATCACTATCAACTTCATTAAATCCCATCTGTTTGCAAAATCTGCGATGTTATTTCCATTGCCTTTGCAGTGTGTTGACAGATGTATCCTACCATCAGAAAGAGCCCAAAAGAATAAAGATGATATGATAGGGGTAGTTCTAGGAGTTCACTGTGTATTCGTGCATACAAAATTCACCTTGTGCACCTTACATTTTAGTGAAGGAAGGTAGATAAACAAATGTGAATGTCATATGAAGATAAATGTAATAGCA